TATATATATATATATATATATATATATATATATATATACTTATGTTGATATTAATATTTAAATTGTTAAATGTTTATTAAATGTTTTTTTATTGTTCTAGCAAATAAAATTTTTATAACTGTAATTTATAATTGTAATTTATACTTTCCTAAGACTTTTGTGGTATTAACAAAATTTGTCAACATACTTTCATTCCATGTAGATCAATAGGTTTTGCTTGCATATTTTCTTCTTTTTCATATAAGTGAGATTTACTATTAAAGACTGCTTGCTGTAAAAAAAAATACAAGTTTAAAAAAGTAAAATTCATAAAAAATTTTTATAAACATATAAATATATAAAATATTTAATTAGAATAACACATTGGTAAATTAAATTGTATTGTAATATAAACTATATACATACAAGATCATCTATTGTATCAGTTGATTTATTAGGCTCATTTATAGAGACATTTTTTTTAGATGACTGGCCTAAATCTGTAGGCTTACTGGGTTCCTAATGTAAAAAAAAATAGTTTATAAGATATATATTTATGCATGTATGAAACATTATATATATATATATATATATATATATATATATATATATATACATACATATATACATGTTTATATACATACATGCATATACATATAGAATATTTTTAAGCAAAACTTATAATACACATGTATGATTTTGTAGTGATACTAATTATAATCCGGGTCAAATTAATATATTCATATAAATATAGGCAAATGAATTATTTTAGTATATGTTAAGAATTACATACACAAGCAGAGTAGTTTTTAGATTTTATAGGTTATAAGAAATACTTCTGAATACAAACCTTAACATAAACAATACCCATTATTTCATAGATGAATTTGATTTCTCATTTTTAAGCAAAACTTATAATACACATTTATGATTTTTGTAGTGATACTAATTATTATCAGGGTAAAATTAAAATATTCATATAAATACAGGTAAATAAATTATTTTAGTACATGTTCGGAATTGCATACAAAGAAGAATAAAGTTTTTGGATTTTATAGGTTATAAGAAATACTTCTGAATACAAACCTTCGCATAAACAATTCCCATTATTTCGTAGATGAATTTGTTTTCTCTTCGTAATGATTGCCTTAAAATCTCATGCTAAAACTAATATCGTACAATACGCTTCAGTAGCAATTAAATAAAAAGAATGTTTTTACTTAAATATAGAATAAATATAGAAATACGTACACAATAGTTGCTATTTATCATAAATGTAATACTGCTACTGGACAGCAAAGAAATTTTCTTATAATGGCTCCCGTACACTGAACGCGATTAGCGATGAGCGATGGGCGATATCCAATGAGAGCATTGCTTCAAGTAAAAATGAGAGCTTTCATTGGATATCGCTATGGACATAGCATACATGGACTCCGAATGCCCTATGTCCGATATTCATAGTCGGGTCTTATATTTAAACCGTCTTAAATTTATCTTCAGATGATGTATGGATCATTTCATTGGCTACGGAGTATCTGAAGATGAACTTAAGAGAGTTTAAATATAAGAACCAACCATGAATACCGGCCTATGTTCTGTCGTCTAATAGAGTGAAGCCAACATCTAGGAAGAGAGCGAGAATAGAGAGATTAGTTATAGATATCTATATATCTGCGAGTGCGTTCTTTTATTCGCAAGATACAACCCGATGCATAATTTAATCGTTCTGTATATCCAGTTGCGCACATCAACCTGCAGACTGCGTAAATATTGACCGTTCTTTAATTTAAGTTGCAAGCAGAATCGTGCAACTTTTAGCATTCAAATCCAAGCGGCTGCCGAAAAATTGAAGCCTGAGTTTCGAATGTGCAGGAATCTTAAGTACGAATACGGTTCTTTGGTGTGCAGAAATTAGTGCGTTTCTCAGACAGCACACAATATTTATGATAAATATTTATTTCGAATTATTTCTTAAAAATATGATATAAATATAATATAAATATTTTATATACATGAAGAAAAAAGTATCAAAATCTTTGTTGAAAATATTGTTAAAATACACACTAAAGCCAGCAGCACACGATGCTTGTTTCGTGTTGGATTGTTTGCTGAATAGAAATACTCTATTTTGATTGGTCTGTCTTCAGAAATGCACTAATCAGAATAGAGTATTTCTATCCAGTAAGCAATCCAGCATGAAAATAAGCATCGTGTGTCGCTGGCTTAAGTTGCTTTCCAACAAGAGACACAAACATCATTCTATTTTTATTCCACATTTAGTGAGTAACAAAGATAGGATGATACTTGTGTCGACTTGTGTCTCATGTTGGAAAGCAACCCAAATATTTTATACAATATTTATAGTAAACGAAAAATAAATATTTGTAGTAATATTTTGTAAAGATATCTATTTACAAATATTATATATGAAAAAAATAAATGCAATTATTTTAAATTATTAAATTAATAAAAAAATTAGAAATTCGAATCTCCCCAGCGAGAACGCTGACGTTGATTCGACGTCTAACCGACGTCAGAGAAGTCTAATGGCTCCTGCACACAGGACGCGGTAATGCTTGCCGCGCGGCGGAAGTTCGCGCGACAGCCAATCAATATGCTGCTTTCCGTAATAACCTTCTAGCTCTTACGGAAAAACAACATATTAATTGGCTGTCGCGCGGACTTCCGCCGCGCGGCAAGCATTACCGCATCCTGTGTGCAGGAGCCATAAGTTACGTCTAGTCTAAATACACATCTAGAAAAATGGCAATTTAGACGTTTTCTATTTTGAATAAATTTTAATGTTTTAGAATCCATTCACAATATATTGACCATTAAAAGAGATTTTTCGATAAAATTCGGGATTTTATTTTGTCGATTATTTACAATCTCTCTAGACGTCTATTCGATGTTGAATCGACGTCTAATATATTAGACTTGTAACTCAAGCTAGCGATACCGTATCGATACAAAATGTGATACCGACGTCGTTACTGAAATGAGTATATTCAGTTCAATATAACTTCACCGCTGCAGTGTTCAGCCAATCAAATCTCTTTTCCTTGTGTATCTTTTTCAGTGAGTTTAGGAACAGTAAATACAAATATTGGCTGTGTCAACAATTATATGTGACAGTTAACCAAAAATTTGTCGAAATAAGTATATATAAAATAAATAATACACAAAAAGATTAAATCAAACATTAATTTGGGATCAACTATATAATCTTATATTAAAATCGTAATTTGTCAGTAGGTATAGTACAGGGATTCTAACTCAGGTTCTCTGAGGGTGGTGCGGGGCGAGGGAAACTGCTGGCGCGGGGGCTGATGTCACGCGGGAGAAAAGACTTACCGACGTTACCGACACTTTTTTTAACGGGCTATTACCGGTATTTTTACCAACATATTTATTTTTTTTACCAACATATTTATATTTTTTACCAACATATTTATTTTTTTACCAACATATTTATATTTTTTACCAACATATTTATTTTTACCAACATATTTATTTTTTTTTACCGACATATTATTATCTACATAATTGGTAATTTTTATCGACCCTGCGATCTGTTTTTTACCGACATATCTTTCCACATACTTTTTAACATAATTTATATCGATATAATTGATCGTTTTATCAATCCTCCGCTTTTCGACGCGTTCGCGGTCTTCCCTCCCTTCCTGTTGGCAGCGGTTCGCGAGCGGACCGCGCCACCCACTCGCCTTTCCTCCTCTCCTGCCACCCGTCCATGCGCCGTCTTCTAGAATATTCTCGAATATTCCAGAAAGTTCGAGACCCTTTGAGGAGAACATTCGGTCCCGAAAAAGAATTTTATCTAATGTATGCCCACATAGAGACACTTTGATGGGAAGTAAAAGAGACATCCTTTTAGTTTTTATCTTCAACAGCCCCCGAAAAAAAGAATTTTATCTAACACTAATGTATGAGATTATCGCATACATTAGTGACATACTTTTTTAATAAAGTAATATATTTTTCAGAGTGTTATTTCATTTATTCATAGCCTCATACATAATATTTTTCAAGGTGCACGCTAGCAACTCGCAATCAACGAGCGACTCACAGTCATAGTCGTTGCTTTCACATATCGCTTTTGTCGCATGATATATTTCAGTAATGTCCTTCTCTCAAAGAACATTTACAAAATTTCGAAATTTTACACTAACGAGATGCGTATTTTCAGACAACCATACATACATATGATCGATGCAATTTTCATAAGTAAATAATGTGTTCATAGTAGCAGGTTTCAAATATAAAGACTAATTAGATAATGTAAGTTTTATAATTTTGGAATCGCGCATCTTACAAAATTCCACTACCAAATCTTGAATCGATAATGGAGATGGTTTGTCAGTTTGCAGAAGCCGTTGGATGTCCAGACGTTTTCCCATCAGCTTTCTCCAAGTTTCTGTAGATAATATTAATTGATTACCGCAATTGTCACCGATGATTATTTCCACAGTAAGCACAGGTCCTACCCCTGCTTAGCCAAACCTGCGCGAGCAGATTTCGAGCAGAGCTTGCTATCAACTTTTGATGACAAATAGATAACAAATTTGAAGCAGGATCTGTTATATCAAATCTTGCTGCCAAATTGCAGTCAGATATGCGGCAGAGCTTGTTGTCGGATAATTGCTGCA